AGGAGACTGGGGCAGAAGGATCGTTGGTTCAAGATGAGCTTGGGCTGCATAGTGAGACCCTGTCTCCCAAAACAAAAATATTGAAATCAAAAGGAATAAATTTTTTTTTTTGATCTTTTTGAGACAGGGTCTCCCTGTAGCCCCAGCTGGCCTGGAACTTACTATGTAGACCAGGCTTGCCTCAGACTCACAGAGATCCGCCTCCCAAGTGCTGAGATTAAAAGCGTGCACCACCATGCCCAGCAGGAATAAAATTTTAAAGCACTAATTATGCCTTCTCTTTTAGTCTCTGCCTGACAAAGATGGAAAGAAGTGCCTTTTTCTAATAAAATGTTTCGATAAGACCTTTGAAATAAGTGCTTCGGATAAGAAGAAGAAACAGGAGTGGATTCAGGGTAGGGCATTTTTATTTTCTGTGATAAAACGAGAGCGAAACTGGGCAGTGACACACACTTGTAATCCCAGCACTTGGGAAGTAAATGCAGGAGCATCAGCAGTTCAAAGTCATCTTTGGCTGTATATGGAGTTCCAGGCCAGCCTGGGCTACTTGAGACCCTACCTCAAAACATAAACAAAAACTTGAAAGCTTTGACTTTCTATTTTCAAATCTCATAACAAGTAATATTACAGTATTGTTTTCTTTTTGTCTATAGCTGTTTTTCCATGTGAAATGAAACCAAGTAAACACGAGTTCTCAATTTTTTATGAGTTTATTTGCATAAAAACCTTGTGGGAATAAAACTGGAGTTTTGGTTTTACTACTATTATCATTTAAAGTATATGGAATTTCTCCCTTTAGTTCTATGGAAAATGTTAAAGTAATCATCTTGAGTTTCTGGTTACACATAAGAAAAAGAATTTACAAAGTAGTTTTGAATACTTCAGGAGCTTTTCAAGTTGTATTATTTCCACAAGAAGTCAGTAACTTGAAGAGAGTGTTGTACTGCCATTTGCATTAAGAGAAAGTAGGTAATGTCTTTCTCTGTGTGTGTGTGTGTATGTGTGTATTCATTTTTAAAATATCTCAGAGAAGTTACACAAGAGACCAGTAGCAGTGGTTGTTGATAGGAGAGGAATCCAGGCCTTGAGGGCTAAGCGGAGGCAGAAGACTTCTTCAGTGTCCTTTCGTGCATCTTGAATTTGAATAATGTATATTAGTTATTTAAGAAATTAAATTTAAGTGCTTGAAAATGCCAGGAGCCAGATGTGGTGACTCATTCCTATGATCCCATCACTCAGGAGGCAGTCGATGACTGTGCACTTGAGACCAGTCTGAGTTACGGCGTAAGTTCCAGGCCAGCTTGGGCTGCAGAGTGAAATCCTGTCTCATAAAGCCAGAAAGAAATGAGATTGTATGTGAAAATTAGATAACTTGTGTAAGTAGTATGCATCTGGAATATGTGTGTGTCTAGGATGGCCCTTACATGCAGTATGCAGATTTTCAATGACTGCCAGTTGCTGTTATGTGTTGTCTCAGGAAGGGAGCATGGAGGGAGGGAGATGGTGTCATAAGACGAAGACAAGGGGCAGATTCACTATGGCAGACTGCACATCGGGTGCTAGGAACTTTGATTCTCTACCCTTAGCATGTCTTAGTTTATTTAGCTTTAAATTAAAAAATATATATTTTATTTATTATTTTTATTTTATGTGTATGCATGTATTGCCTTCTTGTAGGTAAGTGCACCTGTGTCATGCAGTGCCGGCAGAGATCAGAAGAGGCTGTCGGATCCCCTGGAACTGGAGTTACGGACAGGACAGTTGTTAGCTGCCATGTGGGTGCTGGGATTCAAACCCAGGTCTTCTGCAAGAACAACCAGTGCTCTCAACCGCTGAGCCATCTCTCCAGCCCCTAGCTTTAAATCTTTAAAAAAATTATTTTTATTGTGTTTTTGAGTCCACATGTACATGTGTATGATTGTGTGCATGTGTGTGTGTGTGTGTGTGTGTGTACATGCATGCCCTGCTTGTACTTGTGGATGTCAGAGGACAGCATCTTTGTGTGGGTGCTGGGGATCAAGTTTAGGTCACCAGAGCATTTTGAGAAGTGCAGAGAGAGGCCAAATGTGGTGGTATATGCTTATAACCCCAGCACTTGGGAAACTAAGACAGGAGGGTTGTGAGTTTGAGGCCAGGCCAATCTTGGCTACATAGCAAGACTGTCTCAAGAGATAGCTCAGTGGTTAAGAATACTGGTTGTTCTTGCAGAAGACTCAGGTTCAAATCCCAGTACCCACATGGCAGCTAACAACTGTCTGTAACTCCAGATCCAGGGGATCCGACAGCCTCTTTTGTCCTCTGCGGGCATTGCACGACACGGGTGCACTTACCTACACACAGGCAATACATGCGTACACATAAAATAAAAATAATAAATAAAATATTTAAAAAAATAAAAAAGATAAAAGCATAGCGAAGGGAGTGGAAAGTACTGTAAAGTTCTTACAGTGTTGCCCTGCAGTGTTCCCAGTGGAGAATCTGTAAGCACAGATGCGCGGTTGTGGACCTAGAACTGAGGAGACCTGAGTGCTTATTTCTCATGTTGGGGGATGAAGAAGCAGATGCTGCTCAGGCCACACTGCTCACTTCAAAATCAGAGTGTGCCCACATCTCACTCTCTTCACCACTTGTGTGGTAGACATACATAATTGTAATAACTGTTCTTTTTCTTTTTTCTTTTTATAGCCATTCATTCAACCATCCATCTGTTGAAGCTGGGCAGCCCTCCACCTCACAAGGAAGCCCGCCAGCGTCGGAAAGAACTGCGAAAGAAGCTGCTGGCAGAGCAGGAGGAGCTGGCACGCCAGATGAAGGAGCTCCAGGCTGCCAATGAGAACAAGCAGCAGGAGCTGGAGAGCGTGAGGAAGGTGGGCATGGGGTGGCGGGAGGGGTGAGCAGAGAGGCCTGGGGCAGCAGTGCTGGACAGCGGGGCAGAGCAAGAGCAGGCTCTCCATTTCAGTGCAGAGGCCATGCTGCCTTAGGGGCTTTGCATTGCCATGAGCTACAAGTGCAGGGAGAGGTTTGGTGACCAGTGTTCTCAGCAAGTGTTTACAGGCCACCGGCAAAACACTTGTGTTAGGAAGGTGTGTTTATAACAATTGAGTGTATATGAATTTTGTCAGAGGAAAGATGGGAAATTTCATCTCTGAGCATGCCAAGGCTGTTTCTGGGGACTGGGGAAATGGCTCAGTGAGATGAAGCCAGCTGCACAAACTTGACTTCCTGAGCTTGAGGCCTGGAATCCACATAAGAAATTAGATGCCAGCAGGTGTGGTGGTACACACCTTTAATCCTTGCACTGAGGAGGCAGATCTCTGTAAATTCAAGGCTAGCCTTATGTACCTGGCAAATTTCAGGCCAACCAGGGCTACATAGTAAGACCCTGTCTCAAAACAAAAGAGGTTGGAGAGATGGCTTCATGGTTAAGAGTAGTGGCTTCTCTTGCAGAGGACCTGGGTTTGGTTACCCGCATCCATATGGCAGCTAATAACTGTCTATAACTCCAGTTCCAGGGGATTTGATGCCCTCTTCTGGCCTTTGCAGGCACTGCACTAAGTACAGCACTTACATACATGCAAGCCAAACACTCATACTCATAAAATAAAAATAACTTTGAAAAAATTAAGAAAGACGATGTTAGATGCCATGGCCATCATCTGCAATCTCAGTAGTCCTACAGTGAGATGGGAGGTGGAAACAGGTGAATCAGCTAGCCTGTAAGATGAGGACAGGTGAGTCAGCTAGCCTGTAAGATGAGGTACAGCATTAGAACCCTAAGAGACTCTGCTTGAACAAGGCAGAAAGCAGCTGATACCCAGAAGTTGTACTCTGACTTCCACACATGTGCCCCCCTCCAAATAAATAAATATTTTAAAAATTAAAGGCTGTTTCTTGGTGGACACAGCTGGTTTCTTACCTAACCCCCACCCGTAGCTCCCATATGCATTTGTCAGTGACTTGGAAGAATTGCCATCCCACTTCTACCCTTGTAACATTATTTCTGATTGGACACAGAAGGCAGGAAGCAGTGATCTCAAACTGCAGGTGCCTACGCTGGCCTATAAAGGAGGTTATGTTTCTTTTTTTTAAAAAATAATTTTAATTATTTAGAGTGTCATTTTTCTTTTTTTTTTAATTTTTAAAAAATTTTATGGGTATGCATGTATTGCCTACATGTAGATAAGTGCACCCATGTCGTGCAGTGCCTGTGGAGGTCAGAAGAGGCTGTCGGATTCCCTGGAACTGGAGTTACAGACAGTTGTTAGCTGCCATGTGGGTGCTGGGATTCAAACCCAGGTCTTCTGCAAGAACAACCAGTGTTCTTAACCGCTGAGCCATCTCTCCAGCCCCAAGTGTCATTTTTCTTACTGTCTGAGTCAAAGTTAGTCTGATCAGCTTTTCCTTCTCAAGACTGGGAAGTCAAATGCTATAGGTGTGTAAACAATGATGTCAGCTGGGAAACTATGTTCCCCATCCCAGGAGTAGCAGTGATTCCCCCAGTGTGTGGGCATGACCTTTTGGACACCTCTGGGCTGAGCCTGGCTGCTGTCAGCACCTGGCAGTTATAAGCTTAAAGACCATTTTGTGACCTTCAAGTGATACCCTGACCCTGAGATATAGGGGTGGCTTATAGTCAAAGGCCCCACATTCCTAATGGGGTTCTCCTTTGACAACCCCTGGAATTGCCACACTGTATGCCATCTTCTCAGTAGATGCATGAGTATAGATTTTTTAAAAATGCTTTATCTCAGGTACTATGTGGGTGTACAGTCTGAGAAACACTTCTCTCCAATGCAGGTGCTTTCCAAAAGGAGCTTCTCCATCATCTTCCCCACAAGCCACCTTGGGTCTTCCGTGAAGCATTTTCTTAACCCCCCTCCTTAGAGGGAATGGAGAGATGGCTGAGTGGTTAAGAGCACTTGCTGCTTACAGACAACCCAAGTTCAGTTCCCAGATCCTGTGTCAGGTGGCTCAGAACCAGCTCCAGATCTGACACCCTCTTCTGGCCCCCTTGTGCATCTGGACACACATGGCATGTACACACATACAGACACAATAAGAATAAATAAATTAAAAATTTGAAAAAAAGAAACAACCTCCCTTATAGGCCAGCCTAGGCACCCGCAGTTTGAGATCACTGCTTCCTGCCTTCTGTGTCCAATCAGAATGAATGTTACAAGTATAGAAGTGGGGTGGCAAGCTGGATCTGTATGTCCTTTTGTAATTTGTTAAAATTACAACAAAGAAAGCATAAAGCATGTATGAACAAATAATCAGAGGGCTGGAGAGATGGCTCAGCAGTTAAGAGCACTGACTGCTCTTGCAGAGGACCTGGGTTCAGTTCTCAGCCCCCATATGGCAGCTAATAACCATTCATAACTCCAGTTCCAGGATCTGATGCCCTCTTCTGGCCTCCACAGGCTTTACATGACACAGGTGCACTTACATACACACAAGTAAAGCACTCATACACATAAAATAAAAATAAGGGCTGGGCATGGTGGTGCACGCCTTTAATCCCAGCACTCGGGAAGCAGAGGCAGGTGGATCTCTGTGAGTTCAAGGCCAGCTTGGTCTACATAGTTCCAGGGCAGCTGGGGCTACAGAGAGACCCTGTCTCAAAAAAACCAAAAAAACAAAACAAAAAAAAATCATACAGTTAATACCAATGAAACTGTTAACCAAGATAAATTATTAACAGTATCTTAAAAGCTCTTTTTTATTTTTATTAAAATAAAATTGGAAGGAAAACTTGTTTTCCCACAAAGGCATTTTGTGTAGTTATTTTGTTGGGCATGATGGCACACACCTTTAATCCCAGCACTCAGGAGACACAGCTGGGTGGATCTCTATGAGTTTGAGTCCAGCCTGGTCTACATGGTGAGTTCCAGGCCAATCAGGGCTACACAATGAGACCCTGTCTCAGAGAGAGAGAGGGAGGGAAGCAGGGAGAGAGAGACACACAATCTGTGTTTTTTTTTGTTGTTTTTTTTTTTTTTTTTTTTTTTTTTTTTTTTTTTTAGTCTTCTTTAAAAGATGTTCTGAAAGCGGCGCCGGGAGGGGGTTAATTAGCAAAAGAGGTGCTTGGGAGAGCCAGCCTGTGATACAACGAGCTTTACAGACCCACCCTCTTATTTCTGAGTGTGTTTGTACACATGTGTGCATGTATGTGCATGTGTGTATATGTATATGTGTGCCGTGCACGTGTGTGCATGAGGAAACCAGAGGTCAACCTTGTGTCCTTCCTCAGAGACCATCCACCTTGTTTTTTGCCTTGTTTTGGGTCTTTTTGAGACAGGGTCTCCCCGTAGCCCCAGCTGGCCTGGCACTCACTATGTAGACCAAGTTGGCCTCACCCTCACAGAGATCCACCTGCCTCTGCCTCCTGAGTGCTGGGATTGATTAAAAGTTTTTTGTGTTTTTGAGACAGGGTCTCCCTGTAGCCCCAGCTGTCCTAGAACTCACTATGTAGACCAGGCTGGCCTTGAACTCACAGAGATCTGCCTGCCTCTGCCTCCTCAGTGCTGGGACTGAAGGTGTGTGCTACCACACCTGGCTTGTGTATCTCTCTTTAATTAGGTTTTCTTGGAGCCCAAATATACTGTTGAGTCCCTCTAGTTAGACTTTTTTTGGGGGTGGGGGGATAATAAGGGCTCATGTAACCCAAGCTGGGCTTCAACTTTCCACTTATGGAGGCTGGCCTTGAACTTGTGATCCTTCTGTCTCCGCCTCTTAAGTTCTGGAATTATAGGTATGCTTCATCAATAAAAATCCTGGTTTCTGGGACTGGAGAGTTGGCTCAGTGGTTAAGAGTACTGACTGTTCTTGTAGAAGACCCAGGTTCTTTCTATTTTATTTTAAAAAAAAATTATGTGCACATGTGTGTATTTGTGTGTGTGCCACGTGTGTGTGGGTACCTATGGAGGCCAGAAGAGAGCATTGGATCCTGTGGAGCTGTTGTTACAGGCTATCCAGTGTTGGTGCTGGGATCTAAACTCCGGTCCTCTGGGAGAGCAGCACGTGCTCTTGACCACTAAGTCTTCTCTCCAGTCCCTCTAGTGAATTTTTGATTCAGTTAATGAACATTTCAGCTCCAGAATCTTCGTTTTGTTCTTTCTGTAATTTCCGTCTCTGTATTGATCTTTTCTGATGGACTGTTGTTATTCCTTCCATCTTTAAGCATGGCTTCCTTTCATTTTTAGCATATTTACAGTGAACCTCTTTGAAGTCTTGGTAAATGTGCCATCTGGGCTTCTTCAAAGGCAGTTTCTCTTGTCTGTGTTTTCCCAGGTATGGGTGACACTTTCCTGTTTCTCATACTTTTATTTTTATTATTAAAAACTAAATGTTTTAGAAGATAACATGTTTTAGCACCTGTGGATACAGATCCTGACAGCCACCCCCTACCCCTCGACCCCCCGGCTTGTGTTGTTTATTTACTTGGTGACTTGGTTGAACTATTTCCTGGACTTTTGAGGCTTCCAAGTGTGCTCAGCCTTGAGCATTCAGTTACCTGGAATGACCCTCCTATAGGGCTGCTGTCTTTCTCTAGTCTCTGTTGCATCATAGCTAACTGTTAAGAGTTCACTGGTTTCTGACTCTTTGACGTGTTTTCTGCGCTACCAGGGAGATAAATAGCCCTACCTACAGTCTGACATTTAAACTCAGGCCCATTGTGCTTTGAAGGCCAGTCTTTGAGACTCGTTCCTGCCACATGAGGGCTCTGCTTAGCCAGATCTTCCCTGCTTCTCCATCAGACTGAGGCTAGTCTGGTTTGGTTTGCTGTTCTCGTGGCTCTACCAGCCTCCTCTTGATTCCTTACCACCAAAATCTGTAGTCCTAGCTGGCCTGGAACCTACTATGTAGACAGTCTGGCCTCAGAGTCACAGAGATCTGCCTGCCTCTGCCTCCCAAGTGCTGGGAATAAGAAGGCATGTGCCACCACACCTGGTTAATCTCCATTGCTTTGATGTGTGCTTCATTTTGGGCTTTGTCACATTTTCAAGTACAGTTCTTTTGGCAAGAGCTGCAGAGTCTGCTTTTCTTCTTGAGCAAAGCTTCCATGAAAGGCTAGGAGAGTGGAGGATTCCAGGTTCCAGCCCAGTTTGGGCTACATAGCAAGACCCTGGCCTGAGAAAGCAAACCCACAAACCTGTATGCAGGCTGCAGAGCTGGGATGGAGACTCCTTCCAGCTTTAAGAGCCTTTCCCACGTGGAGGAGGATGCAGCCTCTAGTGGCCTCCGCCTTCCTCTCCTGTGGAGCTTTTGCCTCACAAGGGAGTTAGGACAAGGGCGCTCAAACCTGTCTTTGTAACCTGTCAACCCTGTGAGTGGGGGCTGTTGGAAGAAGAGAACCTCAGACCTCTACCACCCTTGGCCCCTTGCCTGAGTAGTTTGAGTGAAAAACTGGCAGCTGCCCTCCTGGGGAGTTAGTATCTGGACTATGAGCTGAGGAGAGAGGGCGAGTGAGTACCCTTGTTTTGGCTTCACCTGCCAGGAGTGTGAAGCTTTCTTCCTGCTGTTGTGGGGAAGAGGAGAAAGGGTTTCATTCCAGCATGTCAGGACATTTGTTGTTCTACCTTAGATCCTACTGATTTTCTTTTGGTGCTTTTTAAAATTTTTTAAATATTTATTTATTTATTTGTTTGTTTGTTTGTTTATTTAATGTGTATGCGTGTATTGCCTGCATGTAGGTAAGTGCCACCCCTGTTGTGCAATGCCCACAGAAGACAGAAGAGTCTGTCGGATCCCCTGGAACTGGAGTTACAGACAGCTGTTAGCTGCCATGTGGGTACTGGGATTCGAACCCAGGTCTTCTGCAAGAACAGTCAGTGTTCTTAACCACTGAGCCATCTCTCCAGCCCCTTCAGTGCTTTTTTTATAGGATGGGTGGAAGGTTCAGCTCTAGGGCCTTGAGCATGCCAGGCAGACACTCCCACTGAGCTTTAGGTTCCTTGTAGGTTTTCTTAGACCAATGCTTCCCCCCCCCATCATCTTCATTGTCTTTGTCTTCTTCATCTTCGTCTTTTTGAGACAGGGTCTCCCTGTAGCCCCAGCTGGCCTGAACTCACTATGTAGACCAGGCTGGCCTTGAACTCACAGAGATCCACCAGCCTCTGCCTCCCAAGCAGTAGAGTTAAAGGTGTGCACCATCATGCCTGGCTTGTTTTTTTGTTTGTGGGTTCGTTTTTTTTTTTTTTTTTTTTTATAAATTTTTTTATT